ACTGACCTAGTCTTGCACTAGGAATAAATAGTGCAAGATGTCGAAGCCTTCACATCAGGATGGCTCAAGAACTATGAACATGCACCACTCTGCTTGCTCCATCACTTTGCTGCAGTCCTTTCTCCCACCACACTGAGCAATTTATTCCCGTAAACTCCAGCACGAAAGGACTTTACACAGCATACTAACTGACAATTCTCTATCAGAAAACAAAAGGGAGATGAAGATGGAACTGAGGTAATTAAAGCACTTATCTGGTACACTGAACACGCAGCATTTTCTGTCTTCAAAGTACACTGCTAAAAATAAAATCTAAAAGCCCATATATGATATTTCTTTACAGAATACATATTCCTCTTGAAGAGCTGATTAACTGGTTTCTGCAAATCCACAGGCGGGGTGCTTGAGCAGATAACTAGAGATAACATCTATGTCAAGGTCCCACACATATGTAATGAAAGTAAATGCTACTTTACAAACAACATACTTCAACAGAATTAGTTCACATAGTACTACGTTTTTCATATGAAGACTTCTTCTGCACTACATCACATTGTGAATGTGGTAATTTACTTCTAAAACTGCAAACTGCATTTTCTTAACAAGACTGGTGAGTTACACAAAGCTATGAGCTATAGCTGGACGGCCTTGGATGATGTTCAGTGTGAGGTGTCCCTGCCCATGGCAGGGGGGTTGGAATTTGATGATCTTAAGGTCCTTTCCAATGCTAGCTATTCTATGATTCTATAGCCATAAGAGCTGCAGATGTTGCCACAGGGCAAGAAAGAAGAGACTGCTCAGTGAGAGCAAGCCTTCACATTAAATTGACTTGGTAAAATTCAGGAAGAGGTTAAAATAGCTGAAAACCACTAATAATCAAAAGGGCACTTGGAATAAAAGGTTTTTCTGGACATGAAAAGTAGTGGAGAATAAAATTAGACTGTAGGAATCTAGTCTAATAAAAATCAATAAAGCTACTAAACTGCTCTCTGTCAAATTCTCTTTTAAGTATCTCTTTTGTCACGATGCCTTAAAAAAAGCTTAATAATCATACTAGTAATGTACTGAAATCACTGCCTGCTTGTATTGTCTCACTGTTTGCTTAATTTAGTTATCTGTTGTCTCCTGAAATACAAGCACTTTAGAGAAGAGAACATATTTTCCCATCATTGTACACCACCTTGGAAAACAACAAGTGTTCCATGAATAGGGTTTCTAGATGTCACGTGCCAGTGCAGATAGGTTGTTTTTCCCAGAAACATAAGTGAAAATTTAAAATACATTAACCAATTTATTTGCTTATTATCTGGAATTTCAAAATCTGACAACTACATTGCCCTACAAGCAGCTCAGGAGTTACTGTTACGCTTGTCATTTCTCCTCTGTAACCGTTGTGGAATCACAATGTAAGTTTAGGTTGAAGGGAGACCTTTGGAGCTAGTCTGGTCCAACATCTTGCTCAACACAGGGTCAACTTCTTGCTTTATACCAAGGAGAGGACATCAGGACTAAGGTCAGATGTACGTAGTATTGCAAGTCTTGTTCTGAGCATCAGAGATCTTGGGCCATCAACACGAGGCAGCCTATCACAGCTTAGACAACTCTGTATGAAGGCTTTTCCCTGAACAGGTCTCTCATGACCCAGCAGACACAAAGCCAACACTGCCTTACTTAACTTGCTCATTTGCCCCTCAAGTGCTGCATTCTTCATCAGTCCTGACACACAGGCTAAGTTCTCTCATTATTTCACTGTTCTACCATCCTCCCCCTTGAAATTACAGCACATCCTTTCCAGTGTCCGCTTTACATCAGCTACAGTAAGAAAAGTTATTCATCTTCCCCTTTATTGGGTACATGTGGCAACCTTATGCATTTCTAGAGTTGATTTCTACTTTGAATACATTAAATCTCTTCTAATACCAAGTACACACTCACAAAGACTCACAGTACTAACACTTATCTTTATTTCTCTAATCTCTAAGCCTACACTACACTCTTATTTTCCAACATACATTGTCATCTGATTGTTTCATTTAGGGCAGCAAAGGCTTCTAGAATATGATGCCTTCATTCAAGGGTAAGTCACCTGGACACATTCCTGTGTAACATTATCTAGGTGTTCCTGCTCCGGCAGGAGGATTGGACTAGATGATCTTTTGAGGTCCCTTCCAATCTCTAGCATACTGTGATACTGTGAAGTGCTTTAGAGCACACAATTAACACTACTACTTACTATGGACATCTGATACCACAGTTTCTAGCTTACCAAAGGACAAGAATAAAAATCCAGAGGTTGGAGGGACGTTTTCAAGGTCCAAGATTGTGTTTAAGGCCAGAATTTAATTACCATGCTCTTCACTCTTTTGAAACCTACAATTTATCCTAATAAACAGCCTTAATTTCTCTTTAGCTTCTGGGCAGGTATCAGCTACACTCTGTGCGCCCAGCACCACAATCTACTCATTTTGTGGGCTATAACAAGCTGAAGCTCAGAACAGGACAGGGGAAGAACAGCACATGAAACATACCCTTACCTATGTTCACTGCCATGCTCGCAACTCGTCACCTGCACACTCACACAACATAAGGCTGGCAGCCTTTCTGACATGCTACAAGAGAAACTTTCTGATTTCATCTAATGGATTTGGTCCAGTTTGCACTGGATGAATGGCAAGGCAAGAGCAGCACAATCCCCAAATCTATCAACTAAGAAGCTGTTAGAACATACCTTCGGTACTCTAGCTACATCATTTTAAATTTCAGCTACATTAACCTTTTATTTACTAGGTAAATTTCCCTATCTCCCACTGCTTTGTTTTACACAACAAGGAAATTGCTGGCATTATACATTCTCTAGCTGTCCTGCTCCTCATCCTTTACTTTGTAAAACAGTTGTATTAGAAGTTCTTTAGTTAGAAACAACTAAGCATTTGCTATTAAGATTTCAAACTACTAAGTGTTCTTCTCATGCAAAAAGAAGTATGTGATTACCATATGTGCTTTACTGAGCCATGTGCTTCAAGTTTTTACTTTGGATTTCATTAACTTACTTTCTTTTCTGAAATAAAAGCAATGGAGGTCATTTAAGGAAGTTCCTTGCATGGATCAAAGTAAAGTTCACTAGATAAGTACTTGGCTTACCCACACAATTCACAGAGGATACCATATGCTGGGAGAGTCCAGTATAACATATCTTTGAATACAAAACTACCTTCTTGGTCTTTTGCTCAAGCACCTTTCCCTGCCCTGCCTTAGAAATGCTGCCTCAAACCTCAGCACCTACCTGGAGTCTTATTAATATGTCACCCACATCAGAGCAGCTTGCTAGATCAGCTTTGAAGTCAATCAGAACAGTAACTGCTCATATATCATAAAAAAACATGATGTCAGTCTTTAAAAGTCTATTCTAACATCAAACACATTAGCTTACTTTCTTTTGCTTAAGTTAAAGCGCTTTTACATCTAATTTAGCACATTTTCAATTAAGAGAATATTGAAACGGTGCCTAAATTCTATTCAGTTTAGGAATATGAAGTTATTTTAAAATTAAAGGAAAAAAAAAGACTACACCTTCTTGTAAACAGAATACACCCGAGACTGTGAGCCTGCCTTGTTTTCCCAGTTATGCAGGCAAGATCATCTTGAAAGAGTTGTGTGAAGACAGAGGAGTATGACAAAGCATCTTAACAGAAGATAATCTTAGAGCACTGAAGTCTTACACAGATCTATCTTGGAGTTACAACATGAAAGTTACACACACGAAAGTTACAACATGAAAGTTTAACTTAAACTCAGCTGTACACTTAACTCCTCTAAATTACGGGCAGGAGTTCCGTCAGATATCTGCTGACAAACAGAGATGATCAAGAAGCTGAGCACACACGTTTAGAAGGAAGTTTAGCACATGCTGAAGAAACAGTTAAACGCGTTTAGATATTGAACTGCAACAGAGGTAAATTACTAACGATACTGAGCATGAAGGGAAACACACGCTGAAGAGCTAAGCAGATACAGAAAGCGAATTGGAAATCCTCTCCCCGGTTCCACCGAGAATAAACGTTATCGCTGCTCCTGCTGCTTGTGTTTAAGGCATCGCTTCTACTCCAGCAGCGCTCCTGCCAGACCGCATACCCCCTCAGCCAGCCCTCCAGCTCAGTTACCCTGATGGCAGGGGGAAGTAACTCCATCCCGCCGGACCTTACACAGAGTAAGAACAACCCCGCACCCAGCCGCGCCAGCCCCGGCCCGGGCACGGCTCCGCACCGCCGGCGGCCCCGCCGTACCACAACCCGCCCGGGTCCCCGCGGCCGGACCGACAGCAGCGCCCGCCGGCCCCTCACGGCCGCCATCAGACCCTACCGGACCAGCCGCCCCCCGGGGCGCCCCGGCCGCCCTAGGCCCAGCCCGGCCCGGCCCGGCCCGCTTCCCTTCGCCGCCACACACCCGTTCCTTCTCTCCTGCCGCCAGCGCCGCGGAGCCCGCCAGGCTCCCGCGCCTCACGCCGGGCGCTGCTGCAGCAGCGCTTCCCGCCCCGCCGGGTGCGGCACGGAGCGCGGGCGCTGGCCGGAGCGGGCCAAGGCGGCGCGGCGGGGCCCGCCCTGCCTCACTTACCTTACCCGCAGCTCATGGCACTGCCCGGCGCGGCCCCGGCGTCCCCCGGCCCGCGCCACCAGCGCCGCGCCGGGCGGCGGCAGGGGGAGGAGAAGCGGCGGGGCTGCCCGGCGCCGCCAATCCGGGCCCCGCGGTGGGCCGGGCCTGCCGGAGCCGCCGCAGCGCCGGACGGAGGGGAGGGCGGGGCCCGTGGCGGGCGGGAGGTGTGAGGCGGGCGCGGCCTGGCCGGGCTGGGCAGGGGGAGCTCTGTGAGGGGGGGACTCGCCCGTTCCGTCCGGCGGCCTCTCGCTGCCGAAGTTTCAGGCAGCGGTGACACAAGGAAACGCTCCCCAAAACGCGGAGCCGCTCGAGGAAACGGTAGCGGTCCGGTACGGAGCCGTGCTGTAACACGTACAGCCCCCGAGCCTTGAGAACGGCCGCGGGTAACGAGGGCCCCGGTGGAACGGCGGCGGTGTTCAACCTCCCCATTCCCCGCGTCTGCTCTGACCGCCTTCGGGAGCAGCCGGTTCCAGGAAGCGCTGCCTTTGGCTGGGTTGGTCTCGCCAAGGCAAACGTTGACGGCTGTCATCCCTGACTACATCGTGTGGTGGAAGGAGCTGCTGCCTGCAGGTGTATGTGCGAGCACACAAAATACAGCTGTTTGGTAGCTAAACGTTATACAAATAGCCAAAAATCACCTGTTACCCAACCAGCGAGGCCATGCTCCTAGGAAACACAGTGCCAGAGGAACTCTTATTTTCTCCTCATTTCCCAATTTGCAGCAGACTGAGAAAGAAAAGAAATATCTCTGTCAAAAGGTTGTTTCCCCCAGTAATGGTCTGTGCAATAAATTACAGCCTTACCACTGCTTTTACCCTTCACTTAATTGCTCTTGCTTCCTAAGACAGTTAATAATGAGATTACAACATTTGCACTGGGTTAGATGGATGTTGGCCTTAGCTAGCCGGGTTTCTTTAGCCATCCCATGGATTAATTTGGCAATGTCACTTTGTTCCTCTTTAACAATTTCAGTTCAAATTAAAACATGACGAATTCCTCAAAACCTTTCAGACTCCCTTCATTTTGCACCAGTGTTCAGATTTATGATACTTCATGCAGTGATGAGGCAAAAAATAATTTATTTACTAGCTGACATTTAGTGGGATATGTGCACAGCATTCAAATGGCTCCAAATTAGCTAATGTTAAAAGTTAAATATAGAGCTACAGCTCAGGCAGGGGCCCTGTTACACTAAGCATTGTATGGGTGGTAGGTAGTAGGTTTTGCTGTCTAGTTCAAAAGCAGGTGCAAGTAGCACTCATCCTGCTTTTCCCTTTACGTTTCAGGGACAATTCATTGCTGTTTTATCACCCGGCATCTTGGAGTTCTTCAAGGCCCCTAGCTGGCTGGTTTTAAAACCAGGATTCCTGCATGTGGCTATAAAACCAGAGGTACTGACAGTGGCCAGCACCCACCACAACCTGCTCCAGCAAGGAGAGGTCTGAGCTCACCAAATGGAGTGCCAGAACCTTCAAGCTGTTGGATGTCCAAGCCGCAAACTTAGAAATCTTGAGTCTCTACAACCTGAAGGAACCCAACAAGAAGTTGCACTGTGTGAGCATCACTGCATCACCTTTATTTATCCTGCAATCTTTTAATTAAAAAGACAACATATTTAAAATATATGTGAAAGTGCATTCAATCATCTAGCATAGGCTTCTTTTCACAGCTGTCACTGTATATAGGCAGACCTTTGAATCATTACACAAAACTGATGTTAATGTTTCCAAAGGCTGAAGATAACGGTTGGTTTCTTAACAACAGGTTTTCCCCACAGGAACAGGGACTGTGGCTGAAACTGTGGCTGACGGTTTGGTTTTAGCTGTGTTAAACCATAAACAATTCACTAGAATTTCTGAAGCTCTTCCTGCCCTGCATTTGCACCTGACTTGGGCAACATGTGGCCTTAAAGGCTTGACCTCAAGAGGAGTATTTTTGCACCTAAATGTAGGTGTTCAGCAGAGGCTTCTTCCATAGAGGGGTATGTGCTGAGCAGGGGCTGGAGCCAGCCACTGGGAAAAACTGGGCACAAGCTGTGACTGACCAGGTTACCTGCCTCTGAGCTTTGTGGCACATATGGGAATCCTCTTCTAAAGGCATGTCCCAGTCAGATGGAAGAGGGAAAAAGGAAGAATCTCTGCATTTTTGAATCATTCAGTGCTGTATGAGTAAATCGTTTGTTGGCTAATTTATCTTCCACCCATCCTACAAAAAGAGAATAAAGTAATGCATATTTATTTTTAACATTTCAGGATCCGACGTATAAATATGCAGTCATTCTGAGGAACAACAGGCCTGCAGGTTCTAGAAATAGGTATCTGTAGTCAGGAGCTGCTTTTGAAAAAAATTACTTTAATCACTTGGAATATGTGAGGCAGACATTTAAATGCCTTTTAAAAGCACGCTGTAAAATAAAAAGAAATATTTCTCTCCCAGAGCTGCTGTGAGGCTCAGTTCATTTCTCTCTAATGCCCCCATCAGAATTTCACAGCTCAGGACAGTTTAAAGCTTGTACTTTTGTGGGTAGAGAATATTACAGAAGATTTGGGTTTCCAAATGGTTTTCACAAACCTCTCGTTGCCATCAGATCTCCTGGGGAAGACCCGAGAACTGCAGGACAGACCTGCTTGCAATTTAATGCTGAGAAGATTTAGAATGAATGAGGCAGCAGCTGTGCCTGAACACATGAATCTTGGCATACGTGGTCCTGTGTGCATGTCTGAGAACAGCTTTACAGTTGTTTGTTTGTTATCTGTACAATATTAAATGCAATGGAAGGATGCTTACCATGGAAAAAAAAACAAGTCCCCCAGGCCACTCAATGTGTGCAGCAACCCAGCAAGCACTTGCATGGCCAACGTTTCCCAGTGGGCTCCAGCTGGTTCTGACTATGGGTACCAAGGAGAGAATGAGCTTCCTGAATGCCACACTCCTTCCTGTGCTTGTGTGCCTACCTTCTGCTTATCAGATACTGAAGCAATAGCGTCCCCAGCACCTCCCAGTTCTTTCCCTGCCAATAGTTCACCGTTGCCTTTGGACCTGAGTTCAGTAAGTTGCCAATCTGTCCATCTTGGCCTCCAACCCATCATTTCTCCCCACCAGCTGATCCCAGCCGCTGATCAGCAGTGCTTCTGCCTGGCTTCTCACTGGCATAAAGGAGCACAGCCAGGTCATATTCTCCTTGGGTATGTGGGCCTAGCTTCAGCTTGACTTCTAAAAGCCCCTGGGACCTTCAGAAGCTCTGAGCATTTGTTGCTTCCTGTGCTAAAGCACATGATTCTGTGGGTTTGTTGTTGTTTTTTTTTTTTTGTATTGCTGCTTCATTTTTAAAGCTGGGCTGAAGATAGATCCTCTCCTCCTCATTTGTCCTTCTGATCTTCCTCTTTCCCTCTGTCCTTTAATTTACTAAAGGTTTCTAGATTGCCAAGTACCTGTGGAGAAACAGCTACATGCTACTCCTCACATCAAGAAATGTGTCTCAGAAAAGACATTTCTAGAGCTGGGGAGGTTCTAACTCCCACCTATCTCCCTGCAGCTGTGGGCTGAGGTGCTGGGCAGCAGCACAGCCTCTCTTGTGGCTGCCCAAGTGGCTGTCAAGTGGCTTCACAGAACAGGCTAAAGCAAGGTCAGCAGGGCATGCAGAGCTAGAGCCGTGCTGCTGAGGTGTCACCCACAGGCAGACCTGTTCCCAGGGAAGGTGCTTTGCAATGCAGCCTAGGTCAGACACTCTGAATGCTCCGAATTCACACTGGTTTCCCCAGACCTGCAAAAAACCTTCATGATGCTTCTCACACAGGCCAGTCTCCCCCCCCAGCACTGAACCCACATAGGGAAAATGGCTGGTGCATACCTACAGCAGCAATGCCATCTATCCCTGGGGAAGAGGTGAGTCTGCCCTGCAGAACAGCCACGCGCGCGCTGCCAAAGTCACATGAAGGTTGTGAGAGCTGGTATCTGTATTTCAGTGTACCTGGCAAAGGCACAAAACTCTAAAAGCCTGAAATTTGATCTGCACATGATGGAGAAGTCAATACCCCTCCCTCCACAGAGACCTCTGTGAGTCAGAATATGTGCTAGCTGAGTGCTGGAGTACTTCAGACCACAACTGTGACAAAATACAAAGCTGGGGGAAGGTACTGGGGATACACTGGCACTAGTCTACATTTTGTCTCCACAGGCGTTACACCAGAAGTCCTTGACAATAACATCAGATGCTACAGACAACTTTCTATTAATCAGGAAAAGCAAAGCACAAAATAAACAACACATCCTGACCCTTCAGCTGCGAACTCATTCACCTATTTTAAATCTACAAGTAAATTTAGTACTCCTGATACAGAACAGCTGAAGCTACGTATTTAAACCAGGCACATACACTGCAACTTTTCCACATGCACAGCTCTGCCACAGGAGCATTAACACCAGCCAGCAGTACCCATCTGCTCTTTCCTGGACAGATGCTAAGGTTCCACACTGATGTTCCTAATTTAATGGGTTAGTAAGGGGAAAAGAGCATTGACTATAGACTAGAAACAAACAGCAACCTTCAGATACAGAACTCCAACTGTCCAACATTCAGGAGGAGCTAGGTCCATAAAGTTTTTCTGGGGGGAGAAGCAGAATGTATTGTCAAGTCATCTATAATGATTTTATTTTCCCTTCACAGGGGAAGTCAGAAATATTAATCTGAATGAATGACAAGTGTGACTTGAGAGTGGTTAGTGAAGTTACACTGGAGTCCTGCATGAGTGCTGTTACTCAGAATTAAAGTGGTCTTCATTTGATTTAGCTTTCTTCAGTTTCAGGGTGAAGTACTCTAAACGCAATTAACGACACTTAATTCTGAATATGAATATCTGCATGGGGTTTAACAGGATTTAACTAATCTATTTTAAGAGATAATTCAGGTAGGGTTTCCTGAATGTCCCCCTTTGAGGAAAGACTCACATCAATAGATTTAATGGGAATTGTTCCTGGATCATGCTGGCATGAGGTCTAAACATCACTACCATAAAAATAGCAAATCTTGCTCGGGTGTCCTTGTTCTGAGAGGATTAATATTTGATCCAGAGCTGAATGTATACCTGGTAAAACAGAATCAGAAATTGCAGCATGAAGTGAGCTCTTAGTTACAAAAGAGGGATAGGACACTGAAGAGACTTTGCTTTCTCAACTGAGATGGAGAACTGGCATAGATGGATGCCTGTCAGGGCATTTCCCATGTTCTGAAGGTGCAACATGCATTGTTTTCATAAGGCTGATCCCATTTAAGCTGTTGTGCAGATATAGACAGCGTAATTTAAAATCTGAACTTTGCTAAAACCTTCATTTACATTAACTTTGCCATGGTGTCAGGAACTGCAATCTCTGTAACAGTAATCAGTAACCTTTAACTGAGCAGCAGCATCATTGTGGCCCATATGTCATAGAATAAACCCAAGTGTCTATGCCAGTCAGTCCAACATTTTGGAATAAAACAAGGGGCAATATCTTCTTTTAAACAGGGCAAGTCAGGCACTGAGCTTTGCTGAGGAGACCAGGCTTAAACAATGGGAACACAAAGGTGCAGTTACACCCCGGAACAAACAAGAGCACAACTCTGAAAGCAAACACAGGACTGACATTTTCCCCTCTGACAGAGCATTAACTGCTTGTCTATTCACACAGCACAATCACAGCCAAGATTCAACCCTGCCTTCCTCTCCCTACAACCAACCAAACACCAGTGGCAGCTCCATGCTGGCCCATTTCTGTAACAGATTTGGACCCAGCCTCCAAAGCCAAATGTTCTCAGTGCCCCCCCCAGCTGAATTTTTGTTCTGGACTTCATAATTTCCTTCCCTCCAATAAGATTAACTGTATATTGGTCTAGGATAAGGACCTCAGCTCAGAGATGTATTAAATACAATCTCACTGTGACAATCATTCAGGTGGCTAAATAAGGTATCTGTGCTCCTTAGACTACGTATTATGGGTAGTGAAAAAGACCAGGCAGCTCCAAAGGGCAGTTCCTAATGGGACTCTCAGTACTAGAGAGCAGAGTAGCCTCTTAGCTCAGACATCCAAGGCAGATGTCTAACATCAGGCACTGAGAATACTCTGCTCAGCCTCGCTTTGTGATTTTAGTGACCAGGTGCATAATTCAGTCTCCAAATCTGCCCTGACCCTTCTGCTCAGCTTCCAGAGTCATCTTACATTGCTACCTACTGCAGATAGAATCACACTGTGCAGGGCAACATCTGTCTTCATATGACCTTGGTTTCCTTCATACAGAGGAGCTGTTCCCTGTTGTTTTAAGAATGAGTCATGTCCTGTTCAGAGTATCATTAAATCTTTCAATTAAACATTGCTCAGTAATCTTTCACACCAGAATCCCCGAGTCAAAATTCCAAGGACTGATAGATAACATAATATATTTTTCACATAAATCCAGTGAGATACAGTAAGGAATCTGATAAGTACATGCACAGTCTGCTCTGGGAAAAAAAGTAAACTAAACACAGTCTTAAGGTTTTAGAACATCAAATCCAGATTCCAGACAATATTAAAACCTTCCAGATCTGAGTGCGACTCACCAGTCACTGCTGCCTTCTACTGCATTGAGACAGAGAATTCATCTGGATATTCGAAGCCTTCCAAAACTTGCATGTTTTAAAATAGCAAAATTTACTTCTTTTGAAGTATGGGCTTGCTGCAGCTATTTAGGAACCTCTTACTGAACTCAGATGGATCCTGAATCTCCCCTGAGGATGGTTTAGATGTCAGTGTTCATTCATTAAGAGACTGGAAACTATCCAGGAAAATATTGCAAGAAAACACACCACCTCCAGGATTTCTGTTTCTTCCTTTCTTAAACAGGACTTTCTGTGCAGTTCTCTACAAATAAATCCAAGGTTAAATATGATAAGTAGGGCAAGGAACACAGAGAAATTCAACCCAGTATTAGCAATGTGTACTGCTTATTGATCAACAGGGTATTTTGCAGAGTGTAAACATCCAGCCCTTGCTCCCACACCTGAGGTGCCAGGACAGAAAGCTGGTGCTGGGCATCACCTACACACAGTGAGCTCCAGAACAGTGCCACCAACATGGCAATTCACCCTTACTTTGCCACCTAAAACTCCATCTGTGAAAGCGCCCAACAGAGAGGCAGGGGCAGGCACTCTGGAATTTGGGCAGTGAGAATCTCATTGGGCCCCAATTCCATCACATATTGCTGTTCCTCACAGACAATTAGTGTGCAAAGTCTTATTTTTCATCAGCACAGGGACACATGCGGAGTATCCAACCCTAATGCCATCCAGACAGTGTTCAGACAAAAGCTTATGACCCCAACAGGTTTAATGTTGGCTTTCACTGGATATTCTTTTGTATAAGAAACAAACACGCTCTCGTGCAGAAGCAGGCAGCTGAAACAGGCAAAAGGGCAAACCTGGAGAAGCTGATGCATTCAAGGTTTCCTCCTGCTGAAAAATGTTGAGCTTTGAAGATGTGGGGGGGAGGGCAGTGCTCGGAGCAACTGTGTGCTCCTGTGGTCTGACAGGAGCAGCCTGCTCTCAAAACCAGGCAGAACCAAGTAAACTCTACAAGAATGACCTTGAGAATAAAGGCTGGTGGAGCGCTTCTGGGGAAAGTGCTGGCTGAAAGGCCTGAAATTGCACGCAAAGTGTCTCCTATTGTCTGATTCCTCCTCACTTCAAGGAAACAGAATTTTGTACTTTCTTTGTAAATAAAAGGGCTGCATCAAAGCACCTGAGTTATCAATTTGCCTGCTATTACAAACCATCTACTGGGCCTAAAACCACCTAAGTGCTTTGGTCAAAGACAGGGTATAAAAGCTCCATTCATTTCCTCATGGAAAGGGAACAAATTCATCCTTTTGCAATGGCACAGCACTTGAAAAGTCAAGGATGCATGAAGTGTGATTGCTCTGATTTAGGGTGCATGTCCACAGCACAGGGAACATGTGCTGTGGATGTGATGGCTGCTCACACCCCTTTGCCCTCAAGCTTGTCTTTCACAGACACGAGTACAAAGTAGGCATGAAGCAGCCACCAAGTAAAACCAGTGATTTTTGTGCTGGTGGAAATGGCTCCAGAAGACACAGCAATTAGGAGAATCACTTGGTGTGAGCATACAGCCCTATCCATGTTTGTATGTGATGAAGAAAACACAGATGTGACCTTTGCCAGCCACTCAGTGCACTAATTAGTGTCAGAGATAATAACCGTTAAACATTAAAATCTGACTTATATATGCTACAGATGAGGAAAAGGCAGCAATTTACTTAAGTCTCTATTACACTGCTCATGATTACAAGCTGAAAAACTAGACCATATGCAGGAAACTTGTAATTAAAAAGCATCAATCCTCATTCTCTGCTTGCAGGGGACATCAGGTCTGCTTTCCACAGTCCCATTCAGAATAGATGTGGGACAGTGTGATTCATCGTGGAGCAGTCAGGAAGAAATCAAGTCAATGGGAAAGGATCAGCTTCAGAAAAAAAAAATGGAAAAGAAAGAAAAAGAAGGGGAAAGGAAGTAAAGCTAGTTAAAGAAAACCCTTCCAGTATTCTTGTTTGACAAAGCACAGGTGTGTGTCAGGGTTGTTTTCCAGCAGGGCAGCCTTGCTTCCCTCCAGCAATGACTAAACTGGATTTAAGCAGTGTACACAATGTTCTGAGGCTCCAGGGCTGAGCCAGCTAATACTTTCAGTCATGCTGAACATACCATCCTTGTGTAGAGATCAGCTAGTCCCCAGGGTCCCTGGGAGGAACGTGAATCTCTCTTCGTAAGCCTGCACATTTCCCGTCTCTGCTCCCTTAAGGTCTCTGACTTCCAGCCAAGGAGGACAGATTGTCTAGAGGCTGTTACAGGCACAGCACCCACAGGTGGAACCAGTTTTTCAAGAGTGCCAACACATGCTGTAAGTACATTCAGATTTGTTCTTCCAGTCCTGAGGAATGCCCTGAGTCAGGCTGAGCTCTGCTCACCAAATTTGTCTGGAAATTGCAGACAGGGAGTTAGCTCATTGCTGCTCCTTTGGTCTATACACAGGCACTGCCAGGAGTCCAGGGCAGTGCAAAATGCTAAATGCTTACCTAGAGGCCACTTGGTGACAGTTACAGAAGTATCAGGCACAGCAGGTCCAGTTTGCTTGTGACAAGTAGTGGCCTAAGTAATTGAAGCAATTCAGGCTGTCTACTGCTGATCACCTGACAGTGTGACAGGGACACAACCGGTGGCTGGAAAATTTGATCTGTCATTTTGCATGCAAGGACTGCGTTTAGACACTCTTGGCTTACCTGACTTCAGCCCTGCCATGGATCACACTGCAGAATCACAGCTCATCTCCAGCCACCTCTGAGCTTTTGCCTCATCCCAGCTTTTGGCATTCCTAAATAAGAATGTCTTGCTCCCTAAAGCTCCTGTTCCTTTAATGATCACGAAGTTGAAACAAAAATATAAAATACCAACTGAAACAGTAGTAAAATCAAAACCAAGTTTTGAATTAATGGAGACTGTGACATTTGCACTATTGCCATGCTTTAAATAATTTAAAATGATTCCAAAGCAATCTATATTTCTTATTGACAATCTCATGTTAGTTTAATAACCTGGTGGCTGTAATTATCATTAACTGACTTACACTCTGACCGCATCTTAATATACTTGACAATTTTTTCTTCCATTAGCTCTCACAGCCCATCATCAAGCAAAGTTCACCCCTTCCAGTAATACCATGACTCAGCCCACTTAAGACAAAGCCTTCACCTCTGCCCCACTGATGTCAACCTCCCTGTCCCCACCACCTCTGAGGACTGACTAGCAGCTCTCATTTTCACTGCCTTGGAAGCACTTACCCCAGACAGAGCAGAGAGTTCCCTAAGGAAAAGCCAGGGCTGGGAAGTGGTGACTGCACTTGGGAGAGAACATTTCCACAAATTACTGCTGTCTGGATCCTGAACTACCACAGAAGGTCCCTCTAGGGAACAGCCTGGGTGGGTGGTGAGAGCCACAGGTTAAGTTCCACGAGGACCACAGTCAGTCAGGGCCATCAGTTTGGCTGCTCTGAACAACATGAAGTTCACAGGTGAGGCTTTTCTGCCCTTGTAGCACTGTCTCATCGATTCACAAAGTGAAAATGTGTCAGTTGCGGTAGACTTGGCTCTGCATGTAGTTAAAAAATGAATAAACAAAAAGCCAGTGCAGAGGATTTGAACCTGAGCTCTCCCTGTGTGAGTGTTGATAAGTGCTTTGTGGAAACAGGCTATTTCAGCAGCCACAGCTCCTCTGCAAACACTGAACAGGGCTTGGATTATGCCAACAGCTTAATATGATGTTTTTTTTGGGAGATGCACATTCCCAGTGTCAGTATCACAGTCTGTTAGACTAGGTGGGTATCAAACAGGCTCCTCAGTGCCTCATGACTACATGTCCCTGTGCAGGATGGATGCACTGGCAGCAGCACTTGAAATTAACTGACTGTCTTCTTGGACAGTTCAGTGCTACTGCAGACCCCAGGTCAACTGGAGCGTATTCTGAGTGCCTTCGCAGTGGCTGTTTAGACCTTTGCTGATTTGGGCTAAATCTTTCATTTCAGCTCCATGCTGCTCTTCTGTTTGCCTGTCATCAGACTTCGCAGGTGACTCCCTCCCCGAGGAAACTGTGATTTCTTTTGCTATTAAATTTAAAATTTAACTACAGTGATTATTTCCTGCAGTGGTGAGAATTCTTTCAGCCTTCCCACTCAGCAGGTCTGTGGCTGCTGAGAAAACAAATTACCTGTATAAATATAAATGCATTTAATTGAAGCCTCCCAGGCAATCCGCCTTCTCCTGATTGCTAGACTCTAAGCTTTTTTTAATGGGAGCACCTGTGATTTAAAGCGGAGATTTCAAAAGCAATAAGCCCCATTCTTTGTCATTCTTCAGACATGACAACTTGCTTATTACCTCCCAAATAACAGTAAAAGTGATGCTTTTTCTACTTTCACCAGCCTATTCAGAAAGACTTTCAAATACCAAATAACAAAATGTGCTAGCATTTTAACTCTGTGCTGATACTTTATTAATCTGTTTGATTTCTAGTTTGATTGGTGGGGGGGGGTTTCAATCAATACCTCAGTTTTTCTCAAACTATGTTTCTGTTCCCTGTAGCTGACCTCTCCCTCTCAACAGATCGGCTGTAGCCAGTCTGACAGCATTATTACCCCTGCCCCCAAAAGCTGGGGGTTTATGATGCAAGACAGCTTAGTGATGAATTGCAACATTAAGAACTTGAACTGAACCACGCTTACAAAGCAGCAGTTAGAACAAGCACATAACACCCCAGAAAAGTAAATAATCTCTAAGGTTTATTCACTGACCGATGAGCAGGATATTTACTCTGCACAGAAGTAGTCCCCCAGCATTTATAAACTATTCACTAACCTACGAGGGAAGGAAGCCAAGGTCAGTTGCCAGCAGGGGTCAGCACCGGATCAGCGCCTGGTGCTGCCGGAGCAGCGGCAGTAAGGATGGACTCCGGGCGGGGTCCCTCTCGCCTGGTGACACCAAAGCAGGAGCAGACAGACGGCCGCGCTGCTCAGTACCCTCAGGTAGTTTACAGCAGGAACCAGACAGTACATCATCATCATTGATATTTCCACGAAAGGGCACACAGAGATAAGTTAGACAAGAAAATAAGCAACTGTTAGTTTGCTGGGAATGAAAAACAAACCAAAATTAACAGTGGCAAGGAGGAAGAGTCTGCTGATTTACAGCATTTCTGTATCTCATCCCTAAAACCTCTGTTCTGCAACAGTAAAGGTAGTGTGAAGTTAAGCAAGCAAGGCTGCGGGGTGAGTAAGCTTCTTCCTGAACCTGCTTAGTGTGAGCAAGCGCTTCCCTGAGCTGTGGAAAGGTTTGTGGAAGAACTTTAGCCTTTGTAATTTAGCACACTTACATGAACACAAGCACTCCCACGCTCAGCTCTTAAACCAAGTGAGTGCATTTACCTGCTGCTAAACTGGTTCCTGACACCAGAGCTAAGTGCCTGGAATCAGTTGTTGCAGAGATGACATCTTCCATGTGTTAATTTACACAGCATATCTATACAGTTCATCACTCAAAAATTTCACAGGCACTCATTTGCAAGTGGTCACCAACACGAACATGCCACATCCAGTGCAAAGTTCAATTCAAAGTTTTCTTTATTAAAATACCTTTTCACATTCCTTATACTAATGCATTTTGTATGGACACTCATGGGATGCTGGAAAGAACATCTGTCAACAGAAGAGTCAGTCATTTGTCAAAGGCTTATGATACAAACAACATTTGCATAGGAACAATAAATTAGAGATATTAGCCAGTAACTGGAGCTTGAAAATTTAAACGTTTGAAATGAGGATATAAAACCCTTTTGTATTTCTTGCTGGTTCTGCGCCTTTGATGCAATGCTGAAAGCAGTAACTACGTAAGTATACACAAATCCACATCCTCTCTTTCACTATTTTCTAATTAAAATGAGAACCTTCTTACCTGTGGCCCAGACCTTGTGATTTAATCAGCAGTAAGAAAAGGAGAGCAATTGTAGTGTAAAAGACCAGCTGGTTAAGGGGTTGGGGACAGTACTTTTTCTGTTTTGTTCTGTATTCTTTTTGTAAACTAAAGGAACTGAGATAAACATGGCCTGCAAAGATTAGATCAGGTCCAAACTGGATCGATCCATGTTAGTGGTTTATCATACCATACAGAAAAAGGATAGGTATGGAGTTCCATACTGGACAAACTGGACACAAATGTGACTTCAAATCTCTCCTAAAATCAAAGGAATAAGGATTACACGTAACAGGATTTTCAGGTACAAACTCACTGACCTGGGTGCAGCACATCCACCCATCTGAAGACTGATATTTTGCATCATCCAAAATAACTGTGATGGGCAATCATTCCTCGAAGGCCCATCACACAAACTAACCAACAAGCATCAGAACATCTAAAGGGGAAAAGCAATTTAGTGAAGAATGAAGAATATTTGTGCCTCTACTGAGAGAAACACTTGGTAAAGTACTGAACTTCTGAAGTTATTCAAGTTTTCAAGAGAGCCCAGAGCTTGCTCTTCCATTAGGCCCTCATGGCAGTGTTACATCCAAGACTGGTCCAGCAGTCCAGCTGCTGCAGCACAGGGAGTTCAGCGCAAGCTGCAGGATCATGTCAAAGCACATACATGGTTGGGCAAGCTGTGCTGAGCTCTGTTCTGCCACAGTAGGGTGTTACTGATAACCAAGTTAGCTAGTTTAAAGCAAGTTTAAACATTTCTACATCCTACTGGCATCACAGTAGTTACTGCACTGTAAAGGTACTTCCTCAGATGTAGCTTCCCCTTTTATTTCCTCAGAGCATGATGAATTGGAGGCTAGAAAGGAAAAATCGCATTAGCAGGAGAAATTAAAGATGAGAACCTAGGTCAGTGGTTCCTAGAGCCACTTTCCTGTTAGAATTTTTATTTGTCATTTTTTCCATTAAATGCTTTAGGGACATCTCTATTGTTCCCTCTAAGGAAATCAACTCTGAAAAGAAGAGCCTGGTAAACTCATAAATAAGTGCTGCAGAGCTTTTGAAACATTCACAACATTTTCCATCTTGGCTTGTTTTCTTCTCCCAGCTGATCTTTGAGATGACAGTTCTAAGTAGCATCACGATGCCCTGGTATTCTCTGTTGGCAACAAGACCAAAAAAAGAAAGAAAAAATATGAGTATAAATGTCCCCCTGCCCTCTCCTGTCCTTTTTGATCAATACAAAAACATTAAATATAGTAACATATTCCTTAGAGCACTGTACAATGAACTAATAAATACTCTCAGTTCCCTGGGGAGATATTAGTATTATCTTCATCTGATAAAAAAGGAAATAAGACAGTGGGAGATTCAGGTTAACAAT